GCGCCCCCAGGGCTCGCGCAGAGCCGGGTCGGGAGCCCGGGGCTGGGCCGGGGCGAGCGAGTGTTGGGCGGCCTCGGCTCCGCCCGGAAGGGCACAGGCGCAGCCCCAAAAGTTTCGGCAGCACTTTCCCCCCTTTCTTCCCCGCAAAGGAAGCGTGCCGGCGGGCGGCCGCCCTGGCCGGGCCCTGGGAGATGGCCCGGTCGGGGGTCGTCGGGTCCCCGCCGTAAAGTGGGGAGAGCGGCGCTGTCCTGGTTGCCCCCGCGGCGCTCCGGGGGAGCTCGGGACCCGACCTCCGCGGTGACAGCGCTCGGGAAAGCGGACCGGCCGGCCCCCTGGGAAGTGTGCCGGGGTGGCGCGGATCGCGGCCCAGCGGGGGCCTGCACCCCGCGCCCCACCGAAACTGCCGCCGACACCGCTTTGCGTTCTTGCTCAAACCCTGGGCAGGTCCTTCCTGACCACTTGCGGTGCAGCCACGCGCCTTCTAGGCGCTGGGAATTCAACGGTGAGCAATACCTCACCTAGTCAGTAAAGCGGGGACAATTATGGCTCTCTCGGGGGACGGCTTAGGTGCCATCTCCTCAGAGATGCTTCCCTGACCACCGTATCCAAATTAGCACACCCCAAACCTTGCAGTCATTCTGTGTTCCCCTGCTCTCGCTTATTTTGCTCTGTAATGCCTAATGCTGCCACATAGTATTCTGCATGAATCACTTTATTGTCAGTCTGTCTCAGTCCCTGGGTACTTTCTCCTCTGTTAAAAGCCAACGAGCAGGGACTTTGTCCTTGACTTTTGCTGTATCCCAGCACCTAGAACTGTACCTGGCATACAGCAGGAGCACGAGAAGTTTTTGACAAATGAATAAATTCACTAATGTGAAGCCCTTTTTGGTATCTGTCACCCAGTGGGTGCCCAACGATGACACCTCAAGGTTGTCCCAAGAGCTTATGGAAATTTTGATGACACTGTTTCTCTGGTTAAGCGTTAGGGAGGAAGGTATATGGCTGTTTTCTGTGAAATTTACTTAATAGACCCAAGTCACATCTTTAAAAGCCTTCCATAACATGCCTGCAAGATTTTTAAAAAGTGATAATCACCCTTTTAAGGGACATAAGTTCGTTCCTTTCTTCTTGTTGGAAATAGCACCTCTCTGTAAGAATTGAAACTCAGAGCCACTGCCTTTTCCGGGGACCCAAAGAAGTTGGGGGTGGGGTAGATTCAAGAGTCTCGTTATCTAAAACATTTTCACTTTCATTATGGGATGCTAAGAAAGCTTTTTACCATCATAACAGGAGTGATTTTGGCAAACTTTAGCAGAATGAAATTATGTGTCTGTTTTCAAAGGTGTGTTGTAGCTAATGTTGTTACCTGGTGTATGTTTTCAAGGTAAACCTGGATCTCTGGTCTATAATGGGGAAACTCTTGACTGGTGGAAACAGGCTTGAGGGAGTTTCTTCTTAAACAGGTCACAAATTAGCCTACTTAAAGGCACAGCATTTTAAGTATGGTCCAAGATTTTAATACTACAAAACAGTAAATAACTTTCTAAGAATATCTGGGATCTTTTAGGATAAGAATGTAGTAACTTCATTGAAGACACAAACTCGAGCTCTCCTAGTCTGTATTTCTGCATTTCTGATCTCTGAAAGCCAGCAGTCAAATGAAATAGTGTCCATAGTGTCCAAATTTGTAATAGAAATAATTACATTAACTTAGAAAGTATAATTACTTCCAGCATTCTTCATTTGAATTCATTTTGCCTGACCACTCACCCCATGGCTTTTATTGAGCTGTATTCCCTTCTCTGGGAGTCCCTTCTGTTTCTGTAGGTTGGTCTCCTTCCCTGTGGGGTTGTGAACACATTATGTTCTAGAAGTTCATTTGTAACCATTCCTCCCTAGGGAAACAGGATTCTATAGAGAGTAGTGATGTTCTCAGGAGAGCCTTCCAAAGCACCCTTCACCCCAGCATAGCTGATGTCCGCCACTGAGGGCATCAGTATTGAGTTCCACAGCACGTAGAGGCCTCCTTCCACATAAGACTATCCTTTGGCACCTACTACCCACTTGTCCCTTTCAGCCTACTGTGTGGCCATGGACAAGTGATCTAGTCACTCTAAACGCTCAGTTTCATTGTTTGTAAAATGGGAATAATCATAGACTATATCTCATGGGGGCTGTTCTACGGATTATTGGATGAGCATAAAATACTCACATGCGTGCCTGGCATAGAATAAGTGTTTAATAAATGCTGACAACACTGTTACCTGAAGCTCCAAAATTACCACCTCACCCCCCGCCCCCCGCCCCCGACCACACACACTAATAGTCCCTGGATGGAGCACCCTGTCTGAACTCATTTCCCCCCATGAATGAATGGGAGAGTCCCTTAGTAGAGTTAGTTGCATTTTCAATAGTACTTTCCAGTAAGTCCTTAGTTGTTGTTGTTGTTGTTGTTGTTGTTGTTGTTGTTGTTGTTTTAAATTAGATGGTATGGCTAAGAATTCAAGCATATGGGGGTATAATTTTGGTTGGGGATATAGGATGGAGACTTTTCCTCCCCTTTTCTGGGTATTTAAAGCCGCATCCTGTCTTGATCTTAGAGGCTACTCTTGGTTGCATGTCTCTCTCTGAGTGCTTTGTTTTCATCTCGTGGTGACCCCCTTTCCTCTGAGTATTGTCCACGGGACTCAGTCCTCTGGCCTCTTGTCCCCATCCACACCACACCAGTGATGCCGTTCAGTCACAAGGCTTTTAGTTCCATCACTTTGCTGGTGATTCCCACAGTTTTACACGTGTGCATCCGTCTCCTTCTCTCTGTCTCCGTCTGATACACATGTGAACTCGACACAAGTCAAGCCACCTCTCCAGTTTCTCTCCCCAATTTGTCTTCCTCCATGTGTCCCATCTCAGATAAGAGCAGTTGACGGTGAGTCCATCCTTCCAGGTGCTCAGCCCCCGACTCTTGGAGACCTCTGTGACTCTCCCTTCCTTTTCTTCTCCTGTTCCTTCTCCCTCCCCTACATCCACTCTCAGCAGATGCTGTTGATTCTGCCATCCAAATGTATCCAGAATCCAATGCATTCTCTCCACCCGCATCCTAAACCCTGAGCCACACCACCTCTCTCACCTGGGCCATTGCAGGAGCGTGCTGACTATTTTCCCTGCTTCTACCCTGGCCCCCTACAGTCCCTTCCCATCCCAGCAGCTGAAGTGGTCCCTGTAATACCTAAGTGAAGGCCTTTCCCTTCTCTGCTCTCCTTTTTACTCAGAGCAAAAGCCAAAGTACTTACAATAGCCTTTGAGACGCTATAGCATTTCCTGTCCCCACCCAATATACCTTCCCCCTCCCTCCCCCACCCTCGTCTCCCTCTCACTCTTTCTCCTACCCTTCTAGGTCTTTCTCTATCATCCCAAGCATGGGCCTTTGCCACCAGCAGCCCCTCCTGCCTGGAATGCCCTTCCCTCACTTACCTGCTAGGACTGGGCTTTCCTCTCCTTTTGGTCTCTGCTCACATGTCATCTTCTCAGCAGGGCCTTCCTTAACCACTGATGCAAAATGGCGCACACATCCTGACACACACTTCCCGTGCCCCTGACCCTCCTTTGTTTTTTTTCCATAGGAGCCTGCGTTTGCAGGTCTCCTCTCCCTGGAATGTCGGCTTCCCAGGGTCCTTTCTGCATCATCCTGCCCTCAGCTCCTGGATCAGCACCTGGTACCAGCCACCCCACCCTGAACAGTTCGGGGGTGTGGGACTATACCCCTGGTGACTTCCCCTTCTCTGTCATGGTGGTTCATAGGATTCTGATGACCATCTCTACATCTGCCTCCCTAGCCCTGACCTCTCTCCTGAGTTCTGGACACCCAGTCTACCACATGCTGCTTAGCAATACCGCCATCTGACACATTTTTCAGAGTCGGAATTTCCGTTTGTTCCTTGACTCCTCCTCCATCCAGTTCTGTGCTTCCAATGGCTGGTCCCCTGTTGGAAGTCTAATCCGGCCCCTCCCCTCCATGCCCATGCCTCTGCAGGGCCTGGTGTTCCCTAGCCCCAGGTACATGCTAGCCTGCCTGCCCCCAAGCTCTTCCCTTCTCCCAGCACCCCCCTACCTGGGCTTCGAGGCTTAGCCTTCTACACTGTACCTGGTCTTGCCACTCCAAACCCCTACCTTTTCACCTGTGCCACAGCAGTGGATTGTGACTCCATCTGTCACCACCTCAGGGTGCCTCTGTTGTGGGCTTGTGTGCTCCCAGCAGGTGGGATTCTGGATCGCCACCCTCCGTTGACCAGAGCAGCTCTGATTGGTTTTGTTGGTGGTGGTTTATTTTAGAAACTGGCCACTCTAATTTGAAGAAAGCATTCCGCAGGTTAAAAACAAAAACAAAACCTAAAACCTGTAGGTCGCAGGTTATAAACGTCTACATTGCTGTTTTTAACGTGAAACCCACCTTGTTTTTAGCGTCATCCCCTGCATCTCCCCAACTCTGAAACACCACTCTCTGTGCGTCTCCCTGGACCCAACGTGTTGTCTCTCTGGTAACCGTGGACTTGACAGCCTCTGATCTTTGTCTCATGATGTTCCTTCAGGTTGGGATGCCTCTCTCCCCTTTGTCTACCTAAAAGGCTGCCATGCATCCTTCAAGGCCTTGCAAAGATGCCAACTCTGTAATTGTCCTTAACTAGCCCTTGGCCTAGGCAGGATTCATCCCACCACCTCCTTTGTGCACCTGCAGCATTTTTTACAGGCCACTATTTATATTAAGAATTATTGATTGCTTCTCGGTCCCTTCTTCTTGACCATGAGACTTGGACTGCCCCATGTCTGGCTCCCTAGGAGTGGATATGACAGTGCACATAGTAGGTGCTTAGGGAGTATTTGTGTGCTTGTGTCTTTAGTCACAGAGGTAGGCCAATCACGTGAGCCTCCCACCAACCCACTCCAATGGGGTTTCCCTCCACCCAACCAGTGTTTTTCACACTGTCATCCCTCTCCACTTACATCTGAACCACCTGGCTGTGCCTCTTAGAATACAGGCTCCCAACCCCGCCCAGGACCTGCTCTTTCAGACCCCTGAGATGGAATGCACATTTGTGACAAATGCCTTACCCATCACACGTGAAGAATTACTGCTCTGTTTATGGATGAGGCTAACTGAGCATATCATTTGCCCATCCCCGTCCTCACCGTTAATAGTACATGCACAATGACAGCATGGTTCTGGGCCTCCCGGAAGGGACGTCTTTTGTACCACATGCTTCCTTAGCATCAGTAGAGAGTTCCAGGAGGTACCAGAGGGAGCCCCCTTTCACGGTGTGGTGCTTTCACATGCATTCCAACGGTGGGCTCCATAATAACAAATCTGATATGGGGACAAGGCCATGCTTGTTGGAGAGGATCTCAATACCATCCTTGTTCATAGAGTGGCCTTTTGGGACCAGGCGAAGGTAGAAGACTGCGTGGAAGGCCATAGCTGACAGGGCCAGAGTGGCTGGCATCTCGACTTTTCCTTTCCTGTTTTCATTTTTGCCTTTCTGAATCCACAGTCTCTCTTATTGTCCCAGGATTTTATTTTCTGGAAGGGGCAAAGGGTCTCCAGGGAGCTCAGGTGGGGAAAGGCTCTGAAGGAGGGGCTCACGACCTCAGTCTTTGGGTCATTGGTTCCTTCCCACAGGTAGGCCTGAAGGCCCTAAACATTCTCACCCAGGAAAGTTATAAGCCCTTCCCGGGCACTAGCTGCTTAAAAAGTGTATTTTCCTTCTTTTATTATTACACATGCCATTTCCTTATTTCCAAACCTGAGACAGCTCGCAGGACGTCAGTGGTCTGGCATGGTGACAGTCCAAAACCTGGCCCTAGTGCTCCTGTCACCTCTGACACTGTCACACTTCTCTCCCACGCAACCTCTCTGTGCTCAGGGATTCGTTATATGCCAAGAGGGAAAGAGTTCCAGTTGCTAGTGTCCAGGAGCTTAGAGGCCAGGAATGAAAATAGATGGAAGCCTGGAAAAATAAAAATAAACGTGCAAAAATAAAGCATTTAGACTATGAAGCGTGTTTCAATAGACACGTTATTAAATGTTCCTGATAGGCCCTGGACCATTTTTGTATGTGACTGTCAAACAGGAAGCTGGTGTGGCCGCAAGCCACAGGTGTGTTTAAAAGTGATTAAGTCGAGGGGCTCCTGGGTGGCTCGGTCGGTTAAGCGTCCAACTTCGGCTCAGGTCACGATCTCACGGTCCGTGAGTTCGAGCCCCGCGTCGGGCTCTGTGCTGACAGCTCGAAGCCTGGAGCCTGTTTCGGATTCTGTGTCTCCCTCTCTCTCTGCCCCTCCCCTGTTCATGCTCTGTCTCTCTCTGTCTCAAAAATAAATGTAAAAAAAGTTGAAAAAAATAAAAAAAAATAAAAGTGATTAAGTTGAAATCAGCTTTAATGGAGTGAAACGATTTAGGAGGGGTGCTCTTCATCACAGAACTGAGCCTGTCAAGAGTTTCCCTCTGACTGCTGAGCCGGATGTCAGTAAATTCAACAAGACTGGCTTTATGAGACCTATCCCTGGCTTTCAACTCTCCCTCTCTAAGGTTGTTCCCTTGGCTCAAATGAAGTGGTCACTCATACAAGGTGGAATATTGTCAGTATTCATTTCTTTCACCAACCATTTATCATGTGCTTGGACATTGGGTGTGTGCATACGTTATGTGGATATATTGTACCGTTTGCAAAATTTCACATCTTTTTCCACTCTAGCTTGTCAGTATTAATTCCTGTGTACTCTGTTGGGCTAGGTGCTGCCCTGGGTGCCGTACGTAATTACCCACAAGGTTCTCACAATGTTGCAGTAGGATGTGTCAGCAACATTTTACAGATGAGAAAGTTGAGGCCCAGAGAAGCACCTTGACTAAGGTTACCCAGCCAGTACAAAATGGAAACAGGATTTGAACTCAGGACTGTGTGTGACCCCAAGCACTGGTGTCCCTAGCCCTGTTGAACACCACTTCCTTGTGAACATGAACAATGAACGGGACACAATTCTTCCACATCTCCTATCCCGAAATAAGGAAGCTAGGTAGGACTTGAGAGGCAATCTGGTCCTCCCACTTAATTTCACAAACGAAGAAGCCGAGCTCCTGTTTCATGGGGAAAAAATGAAGCCAAGGACTCCCTGCTTCAGAATTTGCAAAGAAGAGAGCCTTGCCTCAAATCCAGATTTAAGAGCTTGTGTTGGATTGTCCTTCACATTTAACGACAGCCTCATCTTGATCATCTCTTTGGGTGACGACAAAAAATGCATCTGTGAGAAGAAGGATTTTATGTGTTTTTGATGATGCTATCTGTAGTTCATTAGCTTTTACTTCCCAAGTTGTTAGCATTTCTTACGGTGACTTAATTTAGATGACACAGGCCAGCACATCTCAAACTTCGATATATATACAAATCCCATAGGACTCAGCAGGTGTCTAATGGGCCTGGAGATGCTGTCATTCTAACAAGCTCCCAAGCAACACCGCCAGTTAAGTGACCACGCTTTGGCAAGGATGCAGGCAGGACTTGGGGAAACCTTTCCGGCATCTTTTCTTTCTAAGAAGCATCTCCAGGTGTCCAGGTCCCTGGTAAGTGGTGCTGTGGCCTGCTAAGAGCTAGCCAGGTAAGGGGCAAAGATCTTTGCCTGGAGTATTCGGAAGGGCTTCTGTCTCCATGAATTATTCATGAGCCTTACCTGTAGCAACTGTATCTTTAAGGGTGGGGTTGAATGGAGAAGGTGCATTTGTATTGCAGGGAAGTAAACTGAGGATTGCAAGTTACAGGAGGGTTGAGACTGCTTGGTGCAGAGTTGTATTCATGCCACCAAGCAGAGGATGGGTCAGGTAGTACGTGATCACTTCAGGCTCGTGGGAAAGAGCGAGGTTGCCAGCCATCCATGGTTCAAGTCCCAGCTCTGCCACTAGCCAACTGTGTGGCTTTGGCCAAGTCACCACTCTCAAACTTAGTTTGCTTTTCTGCAGAGTGGGTTTGCAACCACTGTTTACCTCATGATGTTTTAATGAGGGTGAAATGGGATAATGCATGCACATAACACGTGATACATGGCCTTTTCAAGTATTGGGGGCTCAGTAAGTATTTCTGGAATAAGAGAGAGGATAAAACGCCTTGGAGCATTTCAGACTTAAATTGAACTGGAAGGGTTCTGTCTTGTGAAATTCTCAGGGACCTGCTTTAATGAATCGATAAAGATGATTTGTAAGTAACACATTAGCTTTTTGCATGTAAATGGTGCTTAGGTGTCTGTAAACCATTTAGGTAGAACTGTTGGTCCAAACTTATGGGGCTTCCTGCCTTCTCCTAACTCCCCAAATGAAAAGAAATTTTACATAAAGAGTCTTAAGATGCATTTCCTGTTATTCTGTTATGCAGTTGAAGACACACAGGAGTAATATAAAGCTGGATTTGCGAGTTTGCGGTGTAAGTAACGTTAATAGTTCCCCTGACGTCTTTACACAAATCACCTACTTGGCAGACCTCGAAGGACCCCCTCTCGCTTCTGCCCTAAACCATCACAGCTTCTCAGTTAGCCAACTCGGAGTGGAAACAGCCCTCAGGGTAGCTCTGGCCTTAATCCCGGAGACACTGGCACCCGATGGGCTTTCTTTTCTGAAGAAGGAATACAGGAGTTTCTCAGCTGTGTGTGTAACTCTCACAGACTTGGGATTCTTGCTGGCTGCCCCACAGATTAGAAAACGTACTCAGTATCTCTCAGTTCTAATTGCATGCTCATCGGTTCCTGTTTTTCTGCCCCTGATGGTGATGATGATGATGGTGATGTTAGCCACAATTGCATACTAAATGCCACATGCTGGGTAAATGCTTTAAATAGAATTCGGTCATGTCATCTAAGTGGCAAAGCAATGGGTGATAGAAACCATCTTCTCAGAAACGGGAAGTGAGGGTCAGAGAGGGTCAGGCTTATCACCCAGCTGGAAGGTGGCTGAGCTGGGACTTGAACTCAAGTCCATTCATTCTAAAGATGATCCTCTTAGCCCCTCTGCTTTCCTGCCTGTG